GATTTGGTGTATAAGTGTTTGTTAATTGCTACTTCGCTTGAGTGCGAGGCTTTTAGGAATTCCCTAACTGCATTTTTGGTGTTTCCTCTATTTAAAATTTCAACATTATCCCTGTCATCAAATTGGTGTCCATAATTATACACATGCATTTATTCGAAAGAATATATATCATGCCTTTTCACAGCCAATTTGTGTTCTTGGATTCGCATTCAAAGGGGACAAAAAATTTCGAATTACAAGTCAATAAAAATGATCAATAAAGATGTAAATTAACAACCAATCACGACAATGATTGTCAGGAGATACATTTATGTCATCATTCACGGAGAATTCAAACCTGATCTGTAGATGTTGTCCAGAAGGACGACGAATGTTTTGTAATTAAGTTAACCAGCTTCTCAGAGAACACAACTAATTCAATGTCACCAATCTGAGCTATAAATCTTCTCCATTGCCTCATGAGTCCGTTAGTCAGATAAAAACAAACCACATGTTGTCACATGATAAGCATCAACCAATCACAATCCAGCATGCAGTCAAGGCCGACTGTTCAGACTTGTGACTGGATCAATATATACCATATACTTTCCTAGCCTTGATTAATCTTTTTTTATTAACTTGTTTGGAATTTACACCTTCTCCTACCCTACCGTGTGGGTCTTCTGGATTTTATTAGTTCGTGTCAGGGAATCATTGCCCTGGAAGTTATCCAGCGTTTCGTTATTGTAAATTAGCATTCGTAATTATACTCCGCGACATCCTAACCAGTACGCACTGTGTTGAGTAGCTTACCCAAATACTGTAAGCACTGATAAGGAAAAACAAAGCATAAGGACCCAACTGTTTAAGAACATGCTCTGAAGATCAGTGTATTTAAACACAATAAGTGTTAAGGTTGTTTTGAGGAATAGAGCTTAGGGCTTATCTGAGGTGACTGTAGCAGCCCAAAACGAAACTACCTGACAAATCCCCACCAACCATTCATAGGCGTCTGAAATAGGAGTGCGTAATTTGAAATAAACGTCTACATACAAGTAAGTAATGCAGTGTTACAGAGTAGTTATATGGGATAACATTTTTGTATGCGATCCAAGAAAACCTCCTAACTTCTCATAGGAGTCCGCTTCCCTTTTGGATTCCACTTGAGCGATGGACTGCATTGTGCGCGATGTCATTCGACAGTTTCCTCAGCGTATGCCCAATCAATCCATCCCCAAAATCTCCTACATATTTGTTGAGCAATCGGCTCTTCGTTGGTTTGTTCCAAGCCAGCCAGAGTTTCTTGTTACTAATTCTTTCTGGAAAGCTATCTGATCTTCAGTATGGAGCCAGCCAGCGAATTGGTTAGCTGTTAATGAAAGTCTGCTTTAGCCTGTTGGAAATCCCTTTCATCACACGCAGTGCAGTATGGAAAAACCGACTTGACGTTGGTATTGCAAATGTGAATCTTGTTCCTTTCGCTTACGGGGAGTGCAGATTTCTAAACTGGTTTCAGGTTGATGAAGGCGTATCTTGCCTATCCGATTCTGACTGGTGTTGACATCTTCATCTGTTCCAACTGCCTGTAGTTGACACGATGCTTCCTAGATAAGGGAAGGAGGCAACCTCTGTTAAATCTTTCCCGTTGACGGTGACTAGTGCTGTTTGTTGGATGGTTATCTTGATCAAATTCGTCTTCTCTGTGTTCACTTGGAGTGCGATCTTCACTACCTGCTTCTTCAGCCAGTTTGTTGTTTTTCGCCTGTGTGATATCAAACATAAATCATCCACGCACGAAATCCAGATCTTCTAATCGGTGATCCAGTATATTCTTATATGACGCATAGTCCAATCCATCACAATTAAAAATATCATCGGTAATAATAGGCAGCCTTGTCTTACTTCTGTATGCACTTTCAACACCTCAGTGAGTTTCCCGTTGTGTATCACCTGACACGTGGCAATATCATATGACCAGCTGTTCAATGAGGTTGATAAAGACTTGGGGCACGCCGTAGTGTTAAAGTAGATTCCAAATTACTTCTCGGTCAAATATGCACACAAGTGAACTCAACATGACTAAACACATTAGACTGAGCGATGATACCACTAGCCTAAATACCTCAAGTCTGGAATAAGCGCTACCTGGACACAGCAGTAAAAAATGAAGTATTTTTCAGCAAAGGGTTACTCTTTTCGGCGATATCATTCTCAAGCTGTACAAACCGCAAATTTATAGTAATTTTTCTTGGCAACAAAAGGAATATTTCCAAAGATGTGCTAATGCAATTGTTAATTTTTTTTCTAAATTACGTAATTTGTTGTCGAAAATTAACAATTGCATTAACACATCTTTGGAAATATTCCTTTTGTTGTCAAAAAAATGAAGTGTACCTGATGCAATATGGCCACGCATATAGCAACATAAAATCATGAAAATGCAATTTTATACGTCAAACTTTGAAACCTTTAATCTAAATATATGACCGTAAAGCAACATTTATTGTCACACACTGCCAAGAACAACTCTGAAGCCATCCTCCAAACAAATATCTCATAAAAAGCGCTGTTGTTAAGGTATATTTAAAAAACGGCATCCTTAAACCAACAATGAACAAATTGCTGCTGTACAAAAGATACGTCGATGACACTTTTATAGCTTGTGAAGACGATTCCGATTTAAATTGAATCTTACAGGAGTTTAATAACTGTCATCCTTCAATTAAATTCACAATGGAAGTTGAAAATAAATCAAAGATTCCATTCTTGGACGTCGAATTGACAAGAAGAGACGACGGAACTCTGAAAAGATCTATCCATAGAAAACCAACATGGAATGGCCAGCTGACAAACTTCTACAGTTGGATACCTATCAGCCGTAACAGAGCTCTCATCATCTCGCTAGCCCACCGCATCAGAAGGATCTGTAGTGATGACTGTTTAGAAGAAGAGCTCCTATTCCTAAAAAGCATTCTGGTTCAAAACGGATACCCGCCGCGTTTCGTGGAGAAGAACATGAAACCAAGGCCAAAAAGAGAAGAATACACTTCAGTGCAAAAGAAGACACTCTATCTGAATCTGGAATTCAGGGGAGACCTAGCAGCAGATATTCTTAAAAGGAGAATCTCCAATTCCCTGAAGAAGACTTTTCCGGCAGCAACTCTAAGAGTGACATTCTCTAGCCGCCCACTTCTTCGGAGCAATGGGAAGGACAAACTGTCGCATATGACCAATTCAATGTGCATTTACCAGTTCACCTGCTCGTGTGGAGCAAGGTACATAGGTTGTTGTATGCGCGTCCTTTCAAAACGTGTTAGAGAACACTACCCAGCGTGGCTGCAAAGAGGAGGCACCGGTTCAATCAGAAGTGCCATTATTGAGCATCTGATCAGTACCTCCCACAACATCTCAACTGATTCATTCAAAGTAATTTACAAAGTCAACAGAAACCTACCGAAAGCAGTTTGTTTCCGACTTCTCTGTACTGCAGAAGCCCTCGCAATATGCATCGAGAAGCCGGAGCTGTGTGTCCAAAAGAAATTAGTCCAACCTCTATAACTACCATGGACTTAGTTCGGTATGTTACCGTAGCTCCCGTTTTTGTTTTTCGATCCCTTTTCGTTCGTTATGTGTGTGATTCTTACTCCCTCAGTCTTTATTCGATTCACCCCATTTTTTTTCCAGTTATGAAAACAGTTATTTTAAGTTTGTTTCCATGCTTTTCCTGTTCACATTTATAATCCGTTTTAAAAATTTACAATTATATCTTAATCCTGTGCAATTTTTTGTGTTTCTAAGGCTCTTGTAATCTATATTCACACCCCCTAACTTCCATTTTAAGTTAAAACTATTATATTAATTTTTGTTTCCATGCTCACTTTCTGCACACCTGTAATTTGCTAAATCCCATGTAATTTTGTTTCTAAGGCTCTTGTAATCTATATTCACACCTCCTAACTCCCATCTCAAGTTGAAAATTATTATTTCAATTTTGTTTCCATGCTCATCTTCTATACACCTGTAATTCGTTGTAACCCTGTGTAATCTATATTCGCACCTCCTGATTCCCATCTCAAGTTGAAAATTATTATTTCAATTTTGTATCCATGCTCATTTTTACACACTTGATATCCGTTCTAATCCTGCGTAATTTTGTTTCTAAGCCTCTCGTAAAAACCATATCTAGTTGGAAATAATTATCACCTTTTATTTTCCGTCATAATTATGTAGAATCAAACAAGAATTGTCTCCATGTAAAAATTGTGTGTTTAAATGCGATTGTACAGCTTTTGAAAATGAAATCGCCGGAAAGATATCTTTGCTGAACTTCTTATTCTTCTCAATCTAATGTTCCAATGGGTATTTTCCACGATATTTAAAAAAACTCAATCGAGTGGATATCTGACAGCAATGTTTCGATTTTTTTTACCATTCATTTACCGGTTGTTTAAAATAGCATAATGATCTATGTATATCTAGGTTTATTAAAACATAGAAACATACATACATCCAATTCTAATAATCAAGGTCATTCACATACATCCTGTCCTTTTAGTTTGAAAAAAGAAATCGATACCCACCTACCTACCTATCTTGCCTAGTCTTTATGCTAATATTGATTTTTGTCCTAGATTTCTGACCTAGAAAGCGAAAATAATAATAATAACGTCAACAATACTCCTTCAACAAAAAAAATACTAGATCATGTGATTGACTGCATGTGACCAAGACCTTGAAAAAGATTATCCAATCACACTAAAGAGCTACAGTTTGACAATAAAATCTATTGCTTTTTCTTCGCCCTTATCAAGGTCATATTCATCCAAATAGGTAGGTAGGTAGATGTGAAATGTGTTAAAGCGAAGATATTATTATTATTTATTACCCATAGAAAGGAGAAAAACAAAGAACATGCACACTCAGAGAGAAAAGATGAATTTATTTAGAAGAAATAATAAGTGAAATATATATATTTTCATCAGGTCTCTCTGATCGTTTTCTTTGTAATAATAATCATAAGAGAATCTTAAATAGATAGACATATATATGTACACATTAAAGGAAAAAAAAAAGTTATTGTCATTCTCTCTCTTGAATCGAATCAAATAAGGTGTCACAGCGCTGATGAAATCAAATAAATGCAAAGCTAATGATGATGTCATTCATCAAAGATTAGAAACATTCACATCTCTGATACAAGCAACAAAATATTGTTAATAGAGTAAAACGATTGAATGAATGAAATCATTCAATTTCGGCAGAACTCTTCAGCACCATATGCACCTTAGGAGATATATATATGTGAATAAGCTACAATGATGAATCAATCGTCCAAGACATGACACGTAGATAGATAATAATTTTTGATGAAAATAATTAAGATTGTAATGGATTATTAATAGTCAGTCCAGCTACAAATCAAATATTAGATTTATCGAAAATCCCACTTAGGACGAAAATAAAAAGAAATTCAAAGCACGTGTGATTATTCAATGAAGAGACAATTTTCAACGAAATTATCATCAAGCTTTACACACAACTGTATATATGTATGATTTTTTTCTCAATTATAAGTGTGATTGGTGAAAAGAAATATATAAAATAATTCATGGATGAAATGTAGAAATCTGAAGATTAGTGGGTAATTAAAGCATTACGCAGTACACAACAAGGTGAGAAATTATGGATAACACGACATATGAATGATTATATTGAATTAATTACACAGAAATATATCGAAAAGGCTAATACACAAGTGAAATAAATTCTGAGAATTGCTCAAAATGAAAATAATTACATAATTAATAGCAATCGAAATAATTAAAAGCAAGGATGTATATATATATATACAAATTGAATATACAAAAAAGGAAAAATAGGAATTATAATGATTTGAGACAGATGGACTGAGGACCATAAAAGGGAGAGGAGGGTGGGGTGGGTGGTTGAACATACTTTTTCTGCTGGATACAAAGCTCTCTGGTTCTTTTCTTTTTCTATGACCAAAGCTTCAGGAATACAGATAAATTAGTCAAACACATAATGATTTTGGGTTAATTACTTTTCATCTTCTATAGTAGACATAATTCTAAAGGTAATAAGGCTGTAGAAATAAGGACAAAACCGAAACTAGCTCCACAGGAGAGGAGATGAACTGATAATGCACATAGAGAAGCTCAGCTGCATGATCTTGTTGTTTTCTTTGAACAGAGTAATGCTCAACAATGTCGGCGGCTAAATCCCCACCACACTGAATTCAATGTTCATTAATTATCACAGAAAGAGAGAATATCACGAATATCAAACTGAATTAATTATAATAATACTAACAAAAGAAAGTTTTTGATGACAATTAATAAGTAAGGTACGAGGTGACCACCCCCTTCCCAATGTATTTCTATATATATTAATGTAGAATATATATTCAGCAGCTGAAGAGGAGCACTTCTACCGAAATTACAAGATGAATTCATTAAAACAATATTTTTGTGGCTTGTTTGAAAACTGGCAGTGTAGTTGAGAACACAAAAGAAAAGAAACCCGACCAATCAATGCAGAAGGCAGTTTTACAGAGAGAACATACATAGACATAACAGAGAGAGACGAGGAAGGAGTACTACAAAATAATAATAATAATACGTACACATTTCTCCCTTTTTTTAAAATGATCTTTCACATATATGATTAAAACGTCTAGCATGATGATAATTATTACTTTGATAACGACAATATCGACCATAGTAACAATTTGGTTTTAGGACAACTTCATCTGGCAACTGGTCTGAACATATCGATAAACGATATTTATAGGCTAATTCACTCAGCACATGTTCTCCACAACTTGTACAAACCAGAGAATTTTCATTTAACACTGATGATGGATATATGATTGTTGAACTGATAAATGTTGATAAACATTGTTCAATAAATCGTGGTATAGATATTCCTTGGGAGGTTAAATAATTCTGTGAGAGAAACAAGAAACGAATCAAGATAACTATGAAATATATATTCATGAGATATCTTGCTTTAGCGTATCTTAGTTATTCATCATCGATAAAGTGTTAAAGTATTACGATTTATAGAATGCGAACTACTCAGGGATCGACGCGTTACCACCAGGGAATAATCTCGTTAACTTAGAATATACTGATGATATAGTCCTCCCTCCTAAGTGAAGACGCTGACAAAATGAGGAAGAGTCTTCTGAACATCTTGAGCTGCAGTCTGCGAATGTTTCGCATGAGATTCATTCCCGCCAAATGTAAGGTGATGCTACAGGACTGGACTACATTGACTCACTCCTAGCTTAAAGATAGGCAAGGAGTGAAGTGTTTGGTGGAGCGTGTTGACCACTTCACTTATTTAGGGAGTTACATCAGCCAACGCCAGAAGGTTGGTCACCGACGAAAACTCAGCACGGATACATAAGGCTAGTTTCGCATATGTCAGTTTACACTGTCTCTGGCATTGTAGACGTGATATCCGACTGCCTGTTGACCAAAGGGCATGTGTACTGCTCAACAGTTTGCTCCATCCTCCTTTATAGCTAGCTACCTTTGAGACATGGCTATTGAAAGTGGAACACATGAAAAGACCGTCTAACTGTATGTGATCGTAAGTGCCTAAGTTCTATCTCCCGTGTGAAGTGGTATAATAGGGTGAGCAATATTAAGGTGAAACATCGGTCGAGTGTTAGGTAAGGAGAAGACAAAAATCGACGAGGCTGTAAAGTTGCATCGATTGAGATGGTTAGGGCATGTGTTACGCATATCTAGCCTAGCCACCGCCTTCTTCGACAATAGGAAATGTTAGATGACTGACATAGGATAACCTTGGGAAAGAGTTAGTGGTGATCTAGACAAAACAACAACAGTTAGTTAAGGCTACGTAGGGAGATGTAGACTTCCTGGTTGGCGTCCTCGGGACGGTAAAAACAAATGAAGGCTGCAGACAATTGGTGATATGGCTGGAAATCCTCGTTCTCAATGGGACAGATGCATCCACTCCTTGTGACTTATAATATCCAATAAAACTATATTGTTCTTCCATATTACTATTCTTTTTGCCTCATATCTCTGTTTCGAATCTCTCTTTACTCTCTTCTTTTGCTTTTATGTCCTAAGTGAAGTGTGGCGACTCGAACTGCCACACATCGTGCAAAGTTCTACGTTTAAACCAGTCAGTCAGTCAGAATGTGACCTCGGGTCGACTAATCAGAAAAATCAGTGATTTTTTGCACAAAAAATGAGCTTTATTTACAAGAGAGGCAATATTAAAGAATAGACATCATGGTCAAGCGACCTTGAAGCAACCAATCAGATCACTCAGTATTAGAAATGGATGCTTTTCATCATATCCGCTGCAAGTTTCACCCTGACTCAGGATTAAGGTTTGGGTAGGAATTAAGATAAGGTTATGATTAAGGCTAGGTAAATTTTGCAAAGAAGATTAGGTTTAGGATGAAACTTGCAACGAAGATTAGGAAAAGAACTGCTCCTGTGGAACCAGTTACAATTAGACCGTAAAATTAGGCGTGTTTATCGTCGAATTTTCGAACACCATCCTGAAAAAAAGTGGTTAAGTAAAGTTTAAACAAAGTCCCTTCATAGTTCTATACTATCTTATCTCGTAGATACAGAACACAAGATTGATGTTAATAATGCGACTTTCAAAGTTATCTAGCGTATTTTGAATTAATTGTGTTCTTCAAGGAGCCCCTGGATTTAATTGCAAAGCTTTCAACATTCTTCTAGACAACACATTCAGCGCTGAAGTGAAAAGTCAAGTCAAAATAAACCAATCAATAAATAAATAGATAATGCTCAACTTACATTTAAAATTTCTGTTTCTATCCGATTATTCAATAATAAGGTTCGAGGGATTGTGGTGTATCTTGTTAAATCTGAAATGTGTTCAATAAAACAAGAAGAGTTTTGGTACACGGCGAAAAGAAAAAGAGAAAGAAAATGTTTGAATAAAGAAAGGACGAACATATACTTGCAGGATAATGCAAACTCATTTTATTTCGTCGATTCACTCACTCTTCAACTACTGCGTTGTACATATCTTAAACAAAATTATCAAATTATTAGTTACAAAATAATGTCGGAACATACTTTTACATACGGTGACTTTGAGTTATAGTTAGAAAGTATGTATAGGTAGCATTATTCCAAAGATGATGTTTGTAGACGAACTACTCAGCATTAAAAGACTAACTATTTATTCTATAGTTAGATAGGAGGGGGAGGGGTAAACTTCGGATCTAACTTGGAAACAAGGATGGTCTAGAGACAAGATAGAACAACGGAGTGAATTTATACATATTATGATAGAGAGTTCAGCAGGGTGGGAGTGAACAGATTGAGCGGAGAAATATGCATTCCTTCGTTTCAATTAGTTCCTCACCAACTGCTGGCTCTACACTAATATATAGTTTTTTACATCAAAATGTTTTACCAGTCAAGTAGTTATTTTAGTTAATCAGTTTGATGTATACGGGGGGGGGTGATTAAGAGGTTAAAGGTCATCAAAACAATTAACTAATAAATGTTAGTAACAAGAAATCCAAGTTTTGAAGAAGGAGTCATCTCGTCGATACTGGACAAATCTGTGTTGCGTTCAAAAGAAATTTGTACAGCCCCTTTCTTAGCCAACCTTGGCCAACTACATAATATGTAATAAGTTCTTAAAAACGATTTTTCCCTTCCCCTTGTAACTGTCTTTTGATGGTGTTAATTTTTGCAATTTTTACAATTCTGGCTAATTCTATCAACTTGTTTGTATTTTACGTAATTCTTCTTAGTCAACCTATTGCTCTAATGCGATCATTGCTATTTTACAAATTTATTAATTATGTAATGACTTGTTGCTAACGCCTAAGAATCAACTTATCTAGAATTCTGTAATTAATCAGTTCTCACCCCTCCTTTGAAACTTGGATATCTTGTTACTAACACCTATTAGTTAATTAATGTTTTGATGACTTTTAACCTCTTAATTTCACCCTCTCCCTTCGCTACACCTAAAACTGATAAACTAAACTTAAGCGCTTGATTGGTAAAAAATCTTGGTGTTGAAAACTACACATCAGTGTAGAGCCAGCAGATGATTGAGAACTAATTGAAAAGGAATGAGAATTTCTTCGCTCAATCTGTTGTTTTTCCTAAATGCATAAATGGGGATTGGGAAATTACTAAAATTATGAGAGAGACAAAACAGTTAAGTAGATTTGGAAACACATAAATAATGAGTACAAATCAGCGAGTGAAATTCAAAATTAGGGTAGTATTACGCAATAGAACAAAACACATTACGGTTATCAGGGTAGTGAGACGTTAAAACACGCTATCTTTCTGTATACAGATGTTGCACTGAAGTCGTTTTGCAGAAACTACCTAATTTCTTATAACCTAATTATTTCTTATCGACTTACGCCGGTGTTTATTTAAAATTAGACGAGCACTGCTGTAGTAGTAGTAGTTGACTATTGCTCCATCTACAAACTTTACCATTCACAATTCAAGTTAATGAATGTTTTAGCCTTTTTGCATGTTTCACATAGAAGTAGTCAGATGCGAGATCTTGTTCTTTGGGCACCTGCAACACCAGTGGGAGACCGGGGAACAAACACTATAAGAGTTAGTGTGGATGGGGTAGTAATTGGTACCATGTATTGGGTCCCATGTTAGCAGATTTCTTCCTGAATAAACCACCTTATCAGAAAAATTTCATTTTATTGCCCATATATATACGTGGATGATATATTCATAATTTTTGATGATGAAAATGATTTGGACAAGGAGTGGACAACAAATACCTCACTTCACAATGAAGTACATTCAACAGTCAAATTCACGTGTGAAAAACAATTTCAGAGTAAAATCTTACTCATATAATGCTGAATGGTAATATTGAAAGGAATTCGCATAAGAAAAGTACATACACATATACATATACATATACACATTTTTATAGCTTTGTTCCCCTCTTGTACAAAAGAAATTCAGTAAAGACTCTTCAGCTATAGAGTCAGGGCTATTTGTTCAAATGTAATTCAGGAGAGACTTAAGATTGTATACGGCTACTCCGAAAAGTGCATCAACAAGCACGTGGCCAAGAAAGTAGAAAAGGATTCTTTTGCATATGTTAGTATGAAGCCTCTATATGTGTAAGACTACAATTCAAGGCGGGGGGGGGGAATACCAAGTGAAATAATAACCAACAAGTTGAGAAAATCTATTCAAAGAACGTGTAATGCCGGAAAGCTGAAGCTCACATTTTCCACACGACCACCTGGTGCGATTCTTCAACTGGAAGATGAAGTACCTAGGCTAACCACCTCTTATTGTATCTACCGGTTCGACTGCTTCTGTGAAGGCAGTTACACATTGGCCGTAGCTCGAGAACACCTGCCAGTGTGACTACACCAAGGCGTACTTGAAACCATGTACATTTCTATATTAGATCACTTGGTGCTCCACACAATCTATAAAGCTAGGCACCGAAGAATCTGCATACATTTACTTCACTTAATGAATTTGAATAAAGCAAGAACAACAGTGGTTTGTGCCGAATAAGACAGTACCATCATTTATTCCATCGGCTTCTCATCAGCTGCTTACAGTCTGAAGATATTAGTAAGTTTTTGTACAGAAACAATTCTAACATACTTATCCGGGGAGTTCAAGTTTAAACAAAAAATCAATATATGCATACAATGATAGTATTAATTATAATAATCACTTTATTCCAAAGAATAGTGATACCCAATGGAATTTTTAGCTTTAAAGATGACGTAACCAAATGGAAGAGGGAATAATGACATCCAGTCACTAGGACATGTATCTGCGGGAGCAGTTACATCGGAAGAATAGAAAGAAGGGCACGCCTATATCTCAAGGGAATAAATGTTTCAAACAGTGCCATTGGCAAGCATTTTGTTGATACGAGCCATGAGACAGAACAGTGTGAAATGCTTCATGATTATTAATAGACAATACATCTTTACCTTCCTCAAATTTGCCGAAACAATCGCTATTAAACGTTTTAAACCTTACTTATGTGTGTTCAGAAAGATTCACTGATTAGTCTTTTTTACCTCGGTGACTCAACGTCTAATCTTTTCTTTAAATTGAATTTTTTAGATTTTCCTGTCGATTGATTGGACCAAAGTGCTCGGTCTTACGTTGACATGCCAGGTTCTTGTGCAGATACTTCGACGATGTCTGGGAATTTAATTAGAATAGTGTATAACGCTTTGGCGTCTGAAACGCTGAGTACTGGGTTGGAGTCTCGGTGGGAACAACATCACTCACTGGGAAATGCAGGTACATCCAGATGACGAGTCCCAAATAGGAGGACATGCGCATCCTGGATTCCACTGCCAGTCACCATCCACCAATTAAAGTCGAATCTTTTTGTCTCATTTGATTACATAATCTTTTACTTTAACACACTCCCATTTTTCGCATTTGTGTAATTCAGTTCTTTGTTGTTTCAATGAATTGAGTTTAAATCACCACACTATTACTCATCCTCAACTTCTCTCCTCTTGTCTTGACTGTACAACTCGATTTTCAATGTATCCGACCACTAATTCTGCATGTTTATATTTTGTTTGAACCTTGACCTCATTCGTAAGTTACATAAGTGGAACTTCTCTAAACATCGTTTATTAAAATATGTGTCTCTGTTAACAAAAATGATGTTGAGCCATACAAATATGACAAAATTCTATGTACATTTGAATAATTACCTTTTAGGTTGTAAGCAGCTGAAGAGAGAATCCGACGACGAAATAAATGATGGCCTCACATTGTTATTCTGCACAAACATTTGTTGTTTTTTCTTTGTTTAAGCTGACTTCCGTCAGAAAACTACGGAAAGCTAGTAGGGAGTACTGCACAGGTATTTCGTCCCTGTTTAAGACTATCCATTAGCAAGACTCACCCATGGCACAGCCAGGGATCGAAGCCAGAACCTTTCGGTTACTATGCGAATTCACATACCATCTGGCCAGTAGGACGGAATGCAATGGTCAGCCAGTTCATGAATTCTAATTTATACTGAATCGTGTTACACAGTTCGATTGCTAGACGATTTCAATCTCTGGATATCTGTCCTCAAGCCAAAACTTGGTGCATTCCCTATAGATGTACTAACTGACTTCAGTGACCCAGGGACTGACTTGCTACCATCGGGGAATAATCTCGTTGACTTAGAAAATGCAGATGACATAGTCCTTCCACCTAGGTGAAGACGCTGAAAAAATGTAGAAGTCTTCTGAATACTTTAAGCTGAGCAGAAATCTTTGAAGGTTTAGCATGCGATACGCTCTAATGTGCTACCTACTATACGGATCAGAGACTTGGCGCGTCATATAGAACATCTCAAACAAACTACAGACCTCCATTAACAGTTGTCTTCGCTCAATACTCAAGATCAGATGGCCAGAAAAGATCAGCAATAGGGATCTCTGGGAGCGAACCAACCAGGAACCAATTGTGAAACAAATAGGCAGGAAGAAATGGAGATGGATGGAGATGGCCATACTCTGAGGAAACCATCAAGTGACATCACTAGACAAGCCATTGCTCGAGTGGAACCCGAAAGGGAAGCGGAGAGTTGGTCGTCAGTGTGAGGGTGACTTGGAGGAGGTCATGTGAAGAGGAGATGAAAGCGTGTGGGCAGACATGGAGCCAGGTGAAGACTCTAGGAGAGAACCGAACGCAATGGAGACGCACGGCTGAAGCCCTATGTTCCTCTAGGAATTAAAGGAAACAACAATGATAATAATAATATTCGCTCCCGTCAAATATAAGATGATGCTATAGGACTACGGGACTACATTGACTCTCTCCTAGCTTGAAGATAGGCAGGATTGAAGTGGATGGTGGTGTGTGTGTGTTGACCATTTCACTTATTTAGGGAGTTGCATTAGCCCCAACGCCCAACAGGTTGATATCTGACGAAACCTTAACACGCATACAGAAGGCTCGTTTGGCAGTTGCGTACTAACTAACGCCATCTCTAGCGTAGATGTGATATCCAGCTGTCGACCAAAAGACGCGTAAGCTGCGCAGAAGTTCGCTCCATCCTCCTTTATAGCTAGCTAGCTAGCTAGCTGTGAGACATTGCCATTGAAAGTGGAAGACATGAAAAGACCGGTTAAGTATCTTTGATCGTAGGTGTCTGCATTCTATCTCCCGTGTTAGGTGGGCTTCGGTCGAGTGCTAGGTAAAGACAGAAAGTCAATCGAAGAGGTTTTGAAGCGGCTGCATCGACTGAGATAGTTAGGACATGTGTCACGCATGCCCAGCCTACTCATTGCCTTCCTCGACAATGGGCGATGTTAGCTGACTGACATAGGATAACCTTGAAAAAGAACTAGCGGTGGTGATGGTCAGACTGAAATATGGCTTCATCAGTCAATGAAATTCACAGCAGTTAGTTTAAGCCAGCCAACCAGCCACGTAGGGAGGTGTAGACTGCCTGACTAGACTGGTTGGGGTCCTCGGGATGGTAAAAACCAATAAAGGCTGGAGACAATTAGTGGCTCAAAATCGTCGTTGCCAATGGACTGCGTAGATGCATTCACTCTTTGTGATTTGCCAATCATATCCAGTGAAACTCTATTGTTCTTCCATATTAATATTCTTTTTCCCTCACTCACACTTCTGTTTATTATCTGTCTTTTTTCCAGTCTGTGTTTACTCTCTTCTGTGGGTTTGTTTGGTACATGAAGAGAGTGTGGCAACTCGAACTGGTGTACATCTTTGCAAAGTTCTACATCGAAACCAGTCAATCGGCACGCCACCCCACAACCCCCAAGACTCATCACAACTTCTCTGAGTAGAACTCTTTAGGTAACGTCCATGTTGTAGTGAGTCATCAAGTGAGAACTAGATTAATTTTCAAGTGTTGGCTTGCAGGGATATTTGATTGAGTTTAATTTTGATCACACGTGTTGACCTGAAGGGTTCAAAACAAAGTCCCGAAGAAGGACGAAACAGTGGAGTTAAGGACTCTTTGCTGATTTTCAACGGTTCTCTAACTGAAATCAATTCGCGATCAAAACAAATGAGATAATTCTTTAATAATTATGGATGCATATAACTGTAGAACCACCTGCTGCTCACTAGCAACTGGCCCTATTCAGGTAGGTAGTTACCTGGAGTTCTAGTGAAAAGTCGTGACCAGTGGGGTACAGCAGGTCGGGTGTGAGGACAAATACTCGCCAGAGATTACATTAACTAATGGTAGCTCTATATCGTGGATTGGCAGAAGTTGGAATTCATTGGATTGGGTCCCAATGGCTTAATGGTCTACGAGCTAGCTCGCCTTATAACCGGAAGCTCTTGGGTTCGAACCGTGGCGGTTGGTCTAGCCAATCAAATCAAATCCCTGCAAACCAACACTAGAAAGAAAGTCACCACAAAAGGGGAATATTCTTCTTTCTGTTCACTCATCATGCCATCCAATTCACGTCGGAATCAGAGATGAACTCGGAATTCCACTTTTTTGGATGTTTTTTCTAAAAAAGAATCTCTGATGGTTCTCTTCAAAGATCGATCTACAGGAAACCAACATGGAATGGTCAATAGTTTGATCCCTTTGAGAAGAAAGAGAAACCTGATCCACTCCTTATCCTCAAGAATAAGAAGGATATGTTCCAGTGATACAATCGACGGGGAACTGGAGGAACTCAGACAAGTCCTCATAGAAAATGGATATCCTCCAAGATTCATCGAGAAAAACATGAAGTTAAAGCAAAAGCCTGGAAGAACCCAGACGGTGGTGCCGAAGAAACTGCTATTTATGAACGTTGAATTTAAAGGTGATACCTGCGGTAGCCGAGATCCTGAAGAACCGCCTATGCAGATCACTGAGAAAAGCCTTCTTTGCGGCTGAGCTACGGATCAATTTCAACAGTCGATAAATGATCAATGGATGTGTGGAGGATAAACTGCGGCTTTGCACGGGCCACTTCAATGTGTGTTTATAAATTCACCTGCTCGTGTGGAGCTAGTTATATTGGCCACACATACAAAGCGCACACTTTCCAAACGCATCTCTGAACACTATCCGGTATGATTAGCAAAAGGACAATGCAAGACAGTTAGTTACTAGCTAAATTCTCGAGCACTTGGTGAACTCAAGCCACGCAGCTCCACCAGAGTCGTCTTTCAATATTATCTACAAGGTGAGGCCAAATGGTATAAAGGGCATCAGGGTTGGGCATTTATGTATGACGACGGAGGCGTTGGCAATTCGTCAATACAACCCCGAACTCTGTATACACAAAAAGTTTGTCCAGTCTCTTATTCTACCTTGGTCTTAACTAGTCGTTCCGTGTAAAAATTTTAATTTTAGTTTACTTTTACTCTAATAATTAATTCACTATTATCACTTTCATATGTTCCTTTTGTACATTTTCACACCCTCTTTACACTTGTTAAATGGACACTCAACTACCGCCTTTCTTCTCACTCAATAGCAATGTTAACCTTATTAAATTTCTAACCCTTTCTTCCTTTGTGCCGTTGTTGAGTACTACGTAATGTCTATTATTATTATTATTATTATCGTTATTATTATTATTAAGTCCTTTTTCTCACTTTGTCTACTTTATTAATTGGCCTCTCTCATTTTTCATATACATTGACTTGCGATGTGGACTTGTGTGATGGTGACCTTGGTAGAGACAACAGTTGGACATATTTCTTCTGAAAACATAGAGTGGGCTTGTATTTCTGGATTGCTAGTGCCTCAGTTATGCCCAGACAGATGCCTTGATTTCAATCCCTTTGAAAGAGAGGTTTGATCAGATCTTGTATATGACTTTGAAGGACTTCTCATCAAATGGAGTTGAATGTTCTGAATTCACCAGATGTTTGAAATATGTTAGATAATGTCACTCCTTTGCGTTCTTAGTGGAACAAAGGAGTTTCAAGCTATAAACTTTAAAGTTTCAGTACCCGGAGTTGTGTTATCCGCACGCCACCACCGCGTCAAACTTCCGTCTTTATCGGTCTTAAAACCATCTAAGTAAGATTTAGGAGTGTGTGTTAGTCGCCAAGAATCGAACCCGGGATCACGTGGGGCGTGGTTGGCGAGTGTTCAACGACTGAACCACTAATGCACATGCACAAAGTTGAGGAAGACTAATGGGGTATACGACCCAAGACCTTCAGATTACACAGCCAGCTCTGTGATTATTCAACCTTGACAGCTGAATGAAATTCAATAACTCACAAATTCAATTTTCTGTCAATAATGAGAATTATTAATGCCTCACGGGATCCACCAAGTTAGGTGTAATTGGGAAGGAAATTGACTATAGTTGAAAACTCGTGGGTTATTGCATTCTAAGCCACTGGTTGAATCGTTAAAGATAAAATAAAATATCAACCACAAAAGGGGGATATTCTTCTTTCTGTTCACTACACTCATATCTCAGTCTCTTTTTAAAATAAAAGATATTTTACAACTCACCTTGTAGTCGTGATAAACAATAACCATTACATCCAGTACAACCATTGGGATTGATCAAGGAACAAAATGTATGCCGGCATATTTCACATTCAATTGTATTCATTCCACGTGGATGCAGTGATGTTTGACTTGGCATAGGTCGACGACAACATGCACAGAAACAATGTGATGCACCTAAAAAACACATTACAAAATTGACAAAAATAAAAAAACTGTTATGTCAAGATAGTATCAGTGAATTTCCGATAATCAGTCCTTTAGACACACGATATAATTAAACGTATATTTATATGATTTTTACGAGTTGATCACGGATTGATATCAATTAGAGAACCATTGAGAAGCAGGACAGGAGAACTGGACAGCTGTTTCCTCCGTCCTAGGTTGGGAATCATCGGCAGTACGCACCCACTGTCAGCGTTCGAACCTAAGACCTTCCGGTTACAGGGCAAGCTGGCTCGTATACCACCATTCAGCCACTCACTGGGACCTGATTCAATGACCCATGAATTCTAACTTCTACCAATTCGTGATTTAGCGCAACCCCAACTCTTAAAAACAAAACTAATCCTTACAAACCAAACAATAGAAAATTAATTTGATGCTCGCTGGTGGCTTACTACAGGACGAAGTTTCCTGGAGTTCTAGTGAGAAGTTGTGACCAGTGAGGTCCATCCAGTCGAGAGTGAGGATATATGTCCCACCGATGACATTGGTTGGTGCCAGTCGCGCTAAATCACGAATTGGTAGAAGTTAGAATTCATGGGCTGGCCATTGAATCGGGTCGGGTCCCAGTGAGTGGCTGAATGGTATACGAGCTAGCTTGCCTTGTAACCGGAAGGTCGTGGGTTCGAACCCTGGTAGTGGGTGCATACTGTCGATGATTCCCAAACTAGGACGGATCAAGCAGCTGTACAGTACTCCCTGGTTTTCAATGGTTCTCTAAGTGATATCAATCCGTGATCAACTCGTAAAAACAAAACTAATCCTTACAAACCAACTATAGAAAAGTATCTATATGAATGAAAGCAAGCAACAATGAGATTAGAAAATTCGTCATTAGCTGAGTAATGCTTGAATACTGATAAGTGTTAAACCACTTTAAATGCCAAAACGGTATCTATTAGATATGCATTGGCAGCCTGCTTTAAACTTGGGCTACCATAAACTTCTATATATCTCTCTCTATTGCATATATTTTCTCTCATTAGGTTTGTTTCAATCGATTAAGATTATGACCTCTACTAATGGTATTCTCTACTCTTGTGTGTATTTAAAATGTTTACAAGCTCCTGTGACATGCAAGTTCCTACTAAACTTGAGGAATGGCCTGTGATTGTGGGTGTGGCAACATGTTCCAATACAACATGACATAACTGTTCTTCAGTTATATCCTTCGGTCTCAAAATGTAATAGTTTATCGTGGATTTCTTGAAGAAGGAGACAAAGCAGATATTTCATACATTTATTCCCCTTAATGAATTTGAACAAAGCGAGAGCTATAGCTTTTGCAGAATAAAGTGGTACCATCTTTTATTTCGTTGCCTTCTCATCAGCTGCTTACAGCCCAAAGTCATTATTAAGTTTATCTACGGGGACAATTTTAACACACTTGCACAGAGTTCATTTAAACAAAAATCAGTCGATCAATATACGCATACACTAATTATATATATATATGTAATATTAAACACTATTCCGAACAATAATAATCATACACAATGGAAACTTTTCAGCATTACGCATTCAGATGAAAATATCCAGTCACCAGGATGGACAAAGAAAGACTGATAACCGCTTCTTTCTGGACGCACAAATCAGGTTTCAGGCGCTTGATGGAAATGGCTTCAGAAAACTTGAGGAGAGTTGAGCCCTTTTGCCTATTGATAATTTTGAACGACTTTTCGACGTCCACCTCATGACCTGTGTCGAGGAGATGCTTGGCGATGGATGGCACTGTTTAAAGCATTTGTTCCCTTTAGACGTAAGCATTTTGGTACATGTTCAGAAAATCGTAGATATGCTCTTCTTTCTGTTCTTCCAATGTAACTGCTCCCGCAGATACATGTAAAATTGTATATACAGTTGGAGTTGTTAACATGAGAAGGATATCTATCGATTTTTGATTGCACCAAATGAGAGCAAGTTATTCGATAGACGGGAACGAGCTTAGCTGCAGGATAGGCTATGGCTAGTGATGTACTCAGCCTTCTGTTGATCATCGCTGCAATGTTTTCACCTTTATAATCAAGTTGAATGTAGATTGGCTTTTTACCCACTGTGATTTGTTTTACATTTGTGACTTCAGATCTTCCATACTTGTTAATGAACATTTGAGAGTACCCACTGCTCTTCAATATCTTATCAAGAAACTCAAATTCTTTCTCTAATTTCACATAATGGAGTGGTTTGTGCTTCAGCTCAGAGAGAGCATTGTGTCACACAAGAAGGATATACTGTCAATTAATTAATATTTTACTTGAAGATATTGTACGAAGAGAGGAAATATCATGCAATAAACCGCTCTCTGAAAATTCTGTACATTATATAAATAGTGTCCAGAATAAAGATATTATTATTATTATTGGTAAATTTTGTCTATTTCAATGTGCCTGGTAATTGCCGAATCACTGGAATATCACGCTTACGCGAATTCTATGGTGCCTTTTTGGTGTTTCTTCTGTCTGATATTTGAACATTGTCCCAATAGAACTGGGATCCATGGTTGTCTGGATGCAGCGATATGAGTGAGGGAGTGGATATCATCATGTCTTTTGACGGCTAGTTTATGTTTATGCATGCGAAGATGATGAGGGAGTCTATTCTGACCAATGTAATGTTTTTCACAGTCGTTGCAATTTCTTTTGTAGATGATGTTGGCTCTATCTTCTCTCCCTGTTTTGAGTCTTTTGGTTGACACAGAGTTGAGTGGAGTAATTTTGTTGGTTTGTGTGCGACATAAATTCCTAAAGGAAGGTTTGAAGAGTCTTGCAGTGATTTCTGGGATGTCGTCTTTTATATATGGTAGGGGGATTTTCTTTGGGCTTTCCTTGGGAGCCCTTGATTTGGTAGGTTGGCTTGGGGGTATGCACCTTTTGATGTTGTTCCGTGGATATCCAATCATTCTTTTGGAAGACATCCATGAGATATCTTTCTTCAATTTTCCTTAAGGTAGGAGTACTACAATGAGTCCTGGCGGCCTCTGTTGAATAGTGTTTGCATACAACTCCTTTTTGTGTGTTATTGGATTGTTGCTGTTGTTTTAATTGAGTATTTGATCTGTGTGAGTAGATTTTTTTATAAACTTGAGTTTCTAATTCCCCTGTGGTTGTTTGCTTGACTAAAACATCCGAAAATGGGATTTTATTCTCGGATTCCTCTTCTCTAGTGAATTGAACGTCGTTAAAAATGCTGAAAAAGTTGAAAAGTTGTGGATTTTGTTTGATTATTACAAATGTGTCACCTCATCAGCCCAAACAGATCAAATACTCAATAACAAAAGCAACAATCCAATGACACAAAATAATTGAGCGAGCAAAGAATATCCGTTTCGATAATTTCCTCTTCTTCTGGCCCTACAATTATATATACGTATATGTTTATACACATAGAATATTCTAGAATAGTAGTCAATAACAATATTAGTGTTTTTTAAATAATATCGATTTGTTAGGTAAGATCATAATGGAATTACAGTTCATTAAAGATGCATAAATAATAATAATAAAGATATAATAGCAAATAGAATATCAACTAAAATTAGGGAAATTCCCACAAAAATTGAGGATCATTCAAACCTAAATGGCCAAGGTAAGGACAATGTCTGAACTAGATTCTTTTGGACTCATAAATTGGGCTTATCAATGTGGATCCCAACAGCCTCAGCAATGTGTAGTAGATGAACTCTTAAGGTGAAGTTAAGATTAGTTGGTTGGTATGCGGTAAATGACCCTGAAAGCCTGGTTGACATCAATCTTGTGTTCTGTATCCACAAGATGAGATAGAATAGCGCTGCAATAAATTTTACTATTGAGAAAGAAAAAGACTCTAGTATTTCATTTCTAGACCAGAAAAGAGGATGGCACAATAAGAAGAAGTGTACATAGAAAACCTACATCACAGAGCAAGAGCAATCTGCTCGGAGGAATATCTTGATGAGGAACTTAATAATATTAAACGGTTGCTGAGTGAAAATGGTTATCCAGAAAAGTTTATTGATAAGAATATGAATCTAAAATCAAAGCAACCCAAGGTACCAACAGTTCCTAAAAAGGAAGGCCTTATTCTTACACATGCAGTTCCTTGGGGACAACATCAGCGAGATACTAACACAGCGCCTTAGAAATGAGGTAAAAACAGTATACCGTGCTGCCGAATTACGCTGTCTTCAAACCAACTACTCTTTTGCCTTAAAGGGTAAAAGATAAACTGCCTAATTTCTCCTCTTCCATGTGTATCTACCAATTTCACTGCTCCTGTGCAGTGGGCCAATAAGTCGCATAGACCGTACAATTAGGCGTGTTTCTCGTCGAATTTCCGAACATCACCCTGCATAGTGGTTGGTAAAGTAAAGGACAAACAAAATCTATTCGCAACTCTATTCTATCTCATCCTGTGGATACAGACAGAACACAAGATTGATGTCAACGAGATGGCTTTCAAAGTCATTTACCGCATACCAACCAACTAATCTTAACTTCACCTTAAGAGTTCGACTACTAAATATTGCTGAGGCTGGCTTTTGGGATCCACATTGAGAAGCCTAATTTATGAGTCCAAAAGAAGTTAGTTCAGACATTTTCCTTACTTACCTTGGCCATCTAGGTTTGAATGATCCTCAATTTTTTGTAGAAATTTCCTTAATTTTAGTTGATATTCTATTTGCTATTATATTATTATTATTATTTAAGCATCTTTAATGAACTGTAATTCCATCGTGATCTTACTTTACAAATCGATATTATTTAAAAAAACGCTAATATTGTTATTAACTACTAATTTAAAATATTCTGTGTATATAAACATATATATAATTGTAGAGCCTGAAAGAGGAATTTATCGACAAGAATATTCTTTGCTCGCTCAATTATTTTTTTCTTTCTATAGATGTGTGAAAGAATATTTTCGCTATATTGAAATCCAATAACACACAAAAAGGAGTTGTATACAAAATAATAAATGTTTTAAAAAAAGGCATATAGGGGTTTTTACGAGTTGATCACGGATTGATATCAGTTGGAGAACCATTGAAAACCAGGGAGTACTGGACAGCTGCTGTTTCATCCTAGTTTGGGAATCATCGGTAGTACGCACGCAGAATTGGTAGAAGTTAGAATTCATGAGCCATTGAATCGGGTCCCAGTGACTGAATGGTATATGGAAGGTCCTGGGTTCGAACCCTGACAGTGAGTGCGTACTGCCAATGATTCCCAAACTAGGATGAAACAGTTGTCCAGTACTCCCTGTGGCTGGTTTTCAATAGTTCTCTCTAACTGATATCAATCCGTGATCAACTCGTAAAAACATAACAAACCCTTACAAACCAAACTATAGAAAATATAGGGGTTTATTTAAGGTTTTAAAACATACATTCATTATCTCGTGAAACAGGATTCCCAACACCAGCAACCCTACTACCACTCTGATCACGACGACCATTTGGCGGCACCCATGAACAAAAAATACAACCAGAGTTAAACGGGATATACACCGACGATGACATAGTTGCTATAGCAGTATTATTCATTGGATAATTGACAGTAAGAGTAGGACTCGCCAGGGTAAGTTCATTGACAACTGATGATGATGATGCAGTATTGGCCAGGGTAATTTCATCAACGTTGATAAGTGAAATATTAGAGGAAGTAGTAGCACCACCGCCACCACCACCAGTGTGTAATAAACCATTGCGACCAATACCTCCAGTCACTGCATATCTTTCTCTTTGTCTAATCAAACAAACAAAAAAAAGAGAGGGGAAAAAAGAAAAGTAAAAAAAACCAACATAGGACATGAGAAAAAATATCTACCTAGAGTTAACCTCGCCTAACACCGGTAGTGTACTCGACAACAGGGGGGAAGAGTAGATGTACCATTAGCAACCCTGCCCAGCCCCCCACCTACCCCTAAAAACAACTCCAATGCTACTCAAACTTCAAGACTACAGTTTCAAACCCTAAGCTCCACTCTGCGTCGGTGGCACACCGGTTAGGACTCTCAGCGACCATGCACACGGTCTGGGGTTCGATCCCCAGCCGACGCGCACCTGATGTAAATTGGTCGGCCTGTAAAATTTCGGCTATCCATATCACATGCTGAAAATTCCATACTTGTACCAATAATACGGTATGGAATCAAGCCATACTCAGAAGAAGTGCAGCAGTTCGAGTTGCCACACTCTCTCCATGTATGTAGCACACAAAGCAAGCGAGGAGTGTAAAAACAGATTCCACAAAATAAACATAATAAACAAAAGTGTTATTGAGGGGAAAAAGAATAGTAATATGGAAGAATAATAGAGTTTTATTGGATATGATTGGCAAATCACATAAAGTGAGTACATCTACTCCATCATCGACAATGATTTCCAGCCATATCACTAGTTGTCATCTCCAGTCTTCATTGGTTCTTACCATCCTGAGAATCTCAACCAGGAAACAAGTCAACACTTTCTTACATGGCCGGCTTAGACTAACTGTTATGGATTCCTTTGTCTGATGAAGCCATGCTTTGTTTTAACCACCACTGGATCTCTCTTTTCCAACCTGATCTATCCTATATCAGCTAACATTAACCATCGAGGAAGGCGATGGCCACGCTAGGCATCTGTAACACATGTCCTAACCATCTCTGCCGATGTAACTTCGTAACCTCATTGATTGACTCCCCCCTACCCACAATCTTCTGAATAACTTGAACAGAAATCTTCGGATTTTTCGCATGTGACTCGTTCCTGTCAAATGTAAGATGATGCTACAGGATTGGACGACATCGACTTCTCATTTAAAGATAGGGGGTGAAGTGATTGGTGGTGCATGGTGACCACTTCACTTATTTAGGAAAATTGCATCAGACCCAATTAACTGACTCCTGAAGAAATCCCAACACGAATACAAAAGATTCATATGACATTTTCTAACTCCATCTATGGCGTAGATGTCATATCCGGCTATCAATCATGAAAAGATGTGTGTACTGTGTAGCAGTTCATTTCTGTCCTCCTTCATGACTGGCTGTGAGACGCAGTTATTGAAAGTGGAAGATATGAAAAGACTAGCTGTTTTTGACCATAGATGTTTGTATCTTATATTCCGTGTTAAGTGATGTAATACAGTAAGTACTATATTAAGGGTCAAGTCTAGTTTTCAGTAAGGAGAGTAAATCAATCGATGAGGTTGTGTCAAGCTACATTGATAGAGATGGCTAGGTCATGTGTTTCGCATACCAAACAAACAATCGTCTTCCTCAACGAGTAATGTTAGCCGACAATGAATAAAGGTTGGAGAAGGGTTCGGGGTGGTCAAACCAAAATGTAGCATCAATGCATGAAGTCTTTGAGTCAGCTATGTGGAGAGATGTAGGCTACCTGTTCATGGTCATTTTCAGGAAGCTAAGAACCAATGACTAGCAACTATTGGTGAAATGGCTCAAAATCGTCGTTGTCAATGGCACAGATACACTCACATGCTCTGTCAACGTCTATATCCAGTCAGCTAGAGTGTAGGTGGAGCAGGGTTCCAACTCATGAACTATAGGTGAAGCAATTAAGATACTATTCATGGACACGAGAGGATGACTGATTGACTAACTGGCTTCAACATAGAACTTTGCACATATGTGCACCAGTTCGAGTTGCCAAACTCCACTCCATGTAGCATACGAAACGAAGCAAGAGAAGAGCGTAAAGAGAGGTTCAAAAGAGAGAAAATTAAACAAAAATGTTAGTGAGGGAAAAAGAATAGTTATATGGAAGAATAATAGAGTGGTATTGGATTTGACAAATCACTACAGAGTATGAATTTGAGCCATATAACCAATTGTCTCCAGTCTTCATTGGTTTCTACCATTCCAAGGATCTCAACCAGGCAGTCTACACCTCCCTATGTGGCTGGCTGGCTGGTTTAAACTAACTATTGTGGATTTGATTGACTGATGAAGCCACGTTTTGGTTTGACCACCACTAGATCTCTCTATACCAACCTAATTCATCCTATATCAGCTAATATTGATCGTCGAAGAAGGCGATAGCCAGGCCAGACATGCGTAACACATGCAACCGTCTTTTTATTAATAATTCCTATGATCTAATTTATAAATCCCGGGCCACCTTGCGGTGGTCCGCGTAGCCAATGATGGAATTTTAACAAAGGGAAGTAATACAGAAAACTATTTCTAACAGACCATGTATAGTTGCATAGGCTCTGTAGTCAAGCAGCACTAATAATCTTTCGATTTCAGAGGTACCCCAAAAAGAAATGAAAAGACTTCTGAATCCTACTCACTCACTCATACACACACACACAGACAAACACGGAGAACCACAAATACACACATCAAACTCACCTTCTATTTCGCCTATTGTATCGCCGATTTTGATAATTATTTGTAGGCTAAAAGAAGAAAATTCAATTTCAAACAATTATTATTCAAGTATTGGTTTGTAAGGCGGGGGGGGATTTGATTGATTGATTGATTACAGGATTTCATTTTGAGCTGACATCAGTTAGAGAACCATTGGAATTGGCAGAAGTTGGAATTCATGGACTGGCCTACGAGCTCGCTGGCCTTGTAACCAGAAGGTCCTGAGTTCAAACGCCGGTAGTGGGTGGCTGAGTACTGCTGAAGAGTCCCAAACCGGTGGGACGACAGAAACAGCTATCCAGTATACCCTGGAAGGTTTTCCAACGGTTCTCTAACTGATGTCAGCTGATGATGAAATCCTATAATCAATTATTATTGATTAGCACACACACAAGCACACACATAGGCACAAACTTACAGTTGCCAATCTTGTTATTTCTTGTTTAATTTCATTTTGTTCTTCAACAGTCTTTGATTTCTCTGGATATTTACGAAGAAACACTTCGACTAAATCATTCAATTGATGATTTTTAGCATAAGCTGATACGTGTTTACGACACTGTAAGATAGAAAACACCATCACATATATGCATTGTGTGCGTAGATAACTTACCATTGGACATTCCGATTTCTGCCATTTTAACCAGCATAGAGTACAAAAACTATGTAGACAAGGTTGAACACTAAACCAAAGCAAAAAGAAGATTGTATGACTGACTGGACATATACATACCTACAACATTCAAAGTAGATATCTCCACAAATCACACAAGTTAAACACGTCTCCATTTCACTGTCTGCAGACATTGATGTTGATGCTGATGGCGTCTTTATAGACTCTGTAGATGATGATGGTTGTGTTTGCGTTTCCACAGGAGTTATCATCATCGTCTTCATTATCTTGACTTTATCATCACAACATTCACCATCAACAGGATCCACCTTCGGATAATTATCATCAGATAGTAGAATACAAAATCCAATTCCTTCAAGAAAGAAGAAAAACACAAAACAGAGGAGAAGTTCCATTTTCTTGACCAACGAGGTATCCAACGTGATATAGAGACGGCAAAATCATAAGATATATATATATATACACAGAAAAGAGACCTGGATGGCGATTTATCTTAACTTTAAAAGTTTCTGCCCTATAAGTTACAAAAAAGGATTTTGGTGAGAACATTATTTGATCGTGTTAGGAAGGAAGCTGTGTGTTCAAAAGGAAAGATTGAGCAAGAGCTATCCATTGTGGAGAAATGCCTACGCGACATTTCGAACTGATCCATCGAAGAAAGATCATACCGAATCGATAGAAAGACGGATTATAAAGAAGTTAAGAGAACTTTTGAAGAAGAAGTTGATTGACAACAACATATACAACGAACTGAAGCCTAAGGGATCCAGATTGCCTTACCTGTACGGCTTACCAAAGATGCATAAGCCTGACATCCCTATGAGACCAATATTATCTATGATTAATTCGCCGTATCACAAAGTAGCTAGGTGGCTAGCAGAAATGTTAGAACCGATCCGTTGTAAATTAGCAGTCTACAGCCTGAAAGACACCTTCCAATTCGCTAAACAATTAGAGAATGTAAGTATCTCAAATAAATTTATGGTGTCCTTCGACGAGTCTTCACTGTTTACAAAAATCCCATTGGAAGGAACAATACAAATGATATGTCAACATGCCGAACTTCTTCCTCTACCCAAGAACGAACTCAAAAAACTTTTACTTATCTGCACCAAAGACGTACAGTTCCAGTTCAAAAACATTCTGTACCGCCAAATTGACGGAGTCGCCATGGGAAGCCCCCTGCGTCCGATTCTGGCAGATATTTTTATGGGTAGTCTGGAACAAACAAGGCTGAAATCCGCAATCAGTCAGACCAACTTCTATACCGGGTATGTCGATGACACTTTCGCTATTTGTAATTCTTTTAATGATGCATCTCAAGTATTAAAAGTCTTGAACAGCGCCCATCCTAATATTAAGTTTAAAATGGAGTATGGAAAAGAGAAGTTCCATTTTCTTGACCTGGGTATCCAACGAGATATAGACAGCAAAATCATAAGATAAATATACACAGAAAAGAGACCTGGAGGGCGGTTTATCTTAACTTTAAAAGTTTCTGCCCTATAAGTTACAAAAAAGGATTTTGGTGAGAACATTATTTGATCGTGTAAGGAAGCTGTGTTCAGAAGAAAAGATTGAGGAAGAGCTATCCATCCATTGTGGAGGAATGCTTACGCGACAACGGTTACCCACAAAAGTTCATTAACAAGTATGGTGGGAGACGTCATGTTGAAAAAGTGAAAATCAGCACAGTAGAGAAAAAGCCTATCTTTCTCTGTAGCTTGCATTCAAAGGTGATGATACTGTCAGTAGATTAAGATGCAGACTGAACACTGCCCTGAAAAGAACATATCCAGCCGCCAAGCTTGTATGTTTTCATCAAACAACTAGTTGTTTGAGATAATCAAAAGTGGACAAATACCCACCTCATGTTACCTGCAACTGTGTCTACCAATTTACATGTTGTACGTGCCAAAGCACTTACATCGGAAGAACAGAGAGAAGGGTTATTGTCCACATTTCTGAACACATACCAAAGAACATGAGACTGAAAGGTCCACAAGTATTAAACAGTGCAATTGCGCGTCATCAATTAGACACTGGTCATAATGTAGACAACTTGAAGTCATTCAAAATAATCAACAAGCAAAAGAAACCTAACTTGCTACGCTTTGCTGAAGCAATTGCTATCAGACGACTTAAACCAAATCTATGTACGCAGAAAGAGACAGTGGTGAATCTTGCACTGCCCTGGTGACAAAAAATATATATATACAACAGCTTGTTTTTGTTTCCAAGCCTAATTGCCTAATTATTCTATAAATATTTATAAACTGTCAAATATTGATCACAGTTCATTTGAATTATTCTATAAATAGTCAGTGTTTGTAACTCTTAATTAGTTAAATCATTCCGGACTAATGTTACTTTTACTTCCTACCAATTACTCCTTGTGATCGTGGAAAAGTATGTTCAAATCTTTAATGTAATGTAATTCATATTTTTCATCGTTCAGGTTGTAACCAGTTGAGAAGAATCCTCGAAATAATAAAAGATGAGCTCATATTATCCTGGTACAATTGTTGCTCTTGCTTTGTTCAAGTTTATTAATGGGAAGAATTGCATGAAGTTTTTGAAAAAACAGTTTATCATGAACAGACAAGAACAAGAAGAACTTACTTTTACTCTCATCAAATTCATCCCAGACAAGATGAAAGTAATCCCCGTTATGTAGGGTGATACACTCTTGATTCAACCATTTACCATTATTACATCGTGTCCCTTTATCTTCACTACAATCATACAACCAGATCACATTGTCTGGATCTTTGATAAGCATACAATGCGAAGCTGAGACATTGTCATCTTTGACGTGAATGGAACATTCTAATTAATGAACAACAAAAATAAAAGATAAAAAATGGTGTAAAAAGAAATATGACTTCTTAATCAAGTCTGAAATGCAGAGGTTGAATGTAATATATAAACCAGAAATTCATATCCTGCAAAAATGTTTCTAATAATAACTGCACGCCTCCACTTGCTTCGGTCCTATGCTGTACTTTTCACCTGCATTCATGTTAGTCCATACTGTTTCAACTCTTCTTCAAACGATCACCCTTGGACGTCCCATTCGCCACTTCCCTTTCGGGTTCCACTCGAGCTATGGCCTGACGCGCGATGTCACCCAAGCCGCCTCCTCAGCGAGTGTCCAATCCATCTCCACTGTCTCCTCCATATTTGTTGAGCGATTGGTTCTTGTTTTGTTTGTTCCCATAGTTTCTTGTTGGTTCTTGTTCTTTCCGGCCATCTGATCTTGAGTATAGAACGAAGACAGCTGTTGATAAAGGTCTTCAACCTGTTGGAAATATTCTTTGTGACCCGCCAAGTTTCTGATCCACCCGTATAGAAGAATTGACTTGATTTTTGTTTGTATTGAAAATCCGAATCACTTTGTTGTTGATGCAGGCTGAGTGACGAAGATTTACAGATTGGTTTCAGGTTGATGAATGTGTTTATCGCCTTCCCGATTCTCGATTTGACATCCTCGTCTGTTCCTCCTGTAGTTGAGACAATGCTCTCCAGATAAGTGAATGAAGTAACCTCTTTCAAATCCCTCCCATTGATGGTGATTGGCGCTGGATGTTGCTGCTTTTGTTGTTGTTGTTGGTTGGTTATTTTCATAACCTCCGTCTTGTCTATGTTCACCTGGAGTCCTGTCTTCGCCGGCTGCTTCTTCGACCAGTTTGTCGGTTTTCGCTTGTAAGTCTTCGATTTTGTGTGACATCAAACATAAATCATCCACGCGCGAAATCCAGGTCTTCTAGGGTCTTCACGTCGGTCCAGGATATCCCTGTCTTCTCGTTTCCCACTGTCTGATGCATAATCCAGTCGTGCACCACAATTAGGAATATCATTGGTGATAATAAGCACCCTTGTCTGACTCCTGTGTTTACTCGAAACGCCTCGCTGAGTTTTCCGTTGTGGATGACTTGACATGTGCCGTTGTCGTACAGCTGTTGAATAAGGTTGATGAATATTTGGGGTACGCCGTAGTACTTGAGTAGTTTCCAAATTACTTCGCGGTCAACGCTGTCGAAGGCCTTCTCAAAGTCACTGATGGTAAGCAGATAAACAATATTCCGTATTTTTTTGATGTATGTACTCTTAATAAATCTTTTATTTATTCTCCCGCAAATGTCATGCTTCCCAGCATCACTAGTGTTATTCATACGCCCCTTTCCAGGTTTTAACACTAATGATGTTCAAAAGTGCCTCAAGTCTCTGAACCCTACCCAGAGCTTAGGTCCAGTTATGTACCTAGTATTAATTTCAAAAAATGTTCTGATATTCTGTGTCACCCTCTCACTGATCTATTTAGCAATTTTTTTCCAGTAATATTGTGCGTTCGATGGCATCATCGCGTGAGTAATTCTGAGGTTTGGCGGCGTGTGTTTGAACACAGTGGAGATCACCATTCATTGAGTGTCGTCATCTGGAAACACCGGCTCCGGTGGCTTGGACATGTGCTACGAATGTCATCCCAGAGGCTTCCGTACAGGTCTCTGTTCGCTAGCCCTGGGACGGGATGGAAAAGGCGGAGGGGTGGTCAGTCCATGACGTGGCGTCGTGGGATGAAGGGTATTTGTGCCAGATTAGCATCGGTTGGTGCGTCACGACTCCCTGGTTGGGGTCCGCGAGATAGCTCGAATCGATGGCTCGAAACGTTATCGGATATGGCCAAGAATCGTCATCAATGGCGAAAGTGTTGCAATTTCCTTCTTTCTTCCCTTCCTGATGATAGTTAACGAATACTGTTTGAACTTGTTAAACATGACTGTTTTCCTTCCAGATGAAGTTCCTTATCCGTTTTCTACTTATATTTTTACTTTTAATCTATGTTGTTTTATCATTATTGTGTGGCGCATCTTTCTTGGTGCCATATTGTACCAAGTTTTTTCTGCGTTTAAATGAATAAATAAATAATATTGTGCCTGCCATTCGGAAAGACATTAAAGTTGTAAATATACCTAAATCGTCTACTGGAGCATGTGTCAAATTTAGCCCCATTGCTATTACCTTTTTGAAAACTATGGAGAAACTACTTTTACTTAGTCTTGTACCTTCGCTTAAATCCTTTAATGACCCTAAACAATTTGCCTAGAAGCACAGTAGAAGCACTCTAGATGCAGCTGCCGTCTTATATCATAACCTTGCTTCCACTCTAGACAAGGGGGCTCAATTTGTTCATTGTGCCTTCCAAGACTATACATCTGCTTTTGACTCGGTCCCTAGGGACATCTTATTAAATAAACTTGCTGCAAGTCAAATAGAATGTTGGGCTGCTAACTGGTTACATTCCTATTTCTCAGAAAGAAAGCAGTACACCGTGTATAAAGGGAAGTCTTCCACTTCATTGCCTACTGAAGCTGGTGTCCCTCAAGGCGCTGTCCTTTCTCCTTCTCTTTTTTCTTTCTTCTTACATGACTTGCCTCACTCTGATGAAATAAACTTTGTGAAGTACGCTGATGATTTAACAGTTTCAATGGCTGTTAACTCCCAGCTAGATTATACCAAAATAAATAGCTTTCTGTCGGGAGTCAGTAAATGGTCTGAGTCTAACGGTCTTAAACTGAATCCTTCTAAATGTCAAACTGTTAATTTCAGCTTAAGATGTAAACGACAGTTAAAAGAAGCCGTCGATTCTGATGACAGTTGTAAAATTGATGACAATGATATAGGAATTAAATCAGAAATTAAGTATCTTGGACTTATTCTTTTTTCTGATCTCTCCTGGTCTTCCCATGTCTTAGCGATCTTCAGTAAAATATTCCGCCTGACATTTTACATTAACAAGTTAAGGCACTCGGGTATAACTCAACTCCTCCTCTTACAGTTCATAAACTCTTGCATCCTACCTATTCTTCTTTATTATTCACCCTTATTCTTTCCTGGTTTGCTTAAAAAGGACTTTGTCACAATTCGTAGAATGCTGAAGACTGTCAGTAGGATGAGTGGTGTCCCAGTGGACTACATAATTAACGTCGTTGTCGATAGGCATTTGACTTCGTGCAGTAAATTTGCTAAAGGGATTTTGTCTGACTTGGAGCATCCACTTCACCCTCAGCTTTCACCTTACATCTCCTCAGGTAGAACAAGAAGTAACTTCAGAAAACTGTATGCCCGCGCGTCTAAGTATAAAAATTCTATGATACCATACTTGGCACGTATTTTATGTGATGAAAATAGCGTCAGGCAAGAATTGACTAACCTTTTTTCATCTAGTAAATAAACAATTTCCTCCATCCACCCTTATATACCTTCAAGTTTTACTTTTATTATTTCTATTATATTTATGGTCCTGTTGCTTATTTGTTTTACTTTCATAATTTCAAACACCAACTTATCTCTATGACTGCTGTAATCTTTGTTTTTCCCCTCACCATATCATGTAAAGAGAACATTATATTCAATATTTTTAATCATGCTAGGATTTCTATATCGCATCGACAATACTGTGTGAAACAAGCCTACGGCAATTTCCACTTGTATTATTATTATTACCTTAGCTGTTGTCACTATTATTATTTCCATTTTATATGCTGCATTTTTTTGACATTACCCCTATTGTAAATGTGGAAAACTTTTCTGTGTAATTAATTTTTATCTTTAATTTGAGGAAATTAGATGCAATATTGTGATTAATGCTGAAAATGGCTGCCTGACTGGATTCAACATAGAACTTGGCACCGAAGTGCAGCAGTTCCAGTTGCCACGTTCCAAATAGCATGCAAAGGTAGACAAGAAAATGAGTGAAGAGAATCAATAGAATTTAGATAAGTATAAGAGTGAAACAGAATGAGTAGTGGTAGAAAGGAATATGAAAGATTACAGAGACTGAATACATCTGCGTAAGCCATTGACAACGATTTTCAGCCATGTCACCTATTGTCTCCAGCCATTGATTCTTATAGTCCCGAGGGCGGGCTCCAACCCGGAAGTCTGCATCTCCCTACCTGACTCAGTTTAAATGTCAAGGATTTCATGGATTGATTGATGAGGCCATGTTTGTGTTTGGCCACCACTTACTCTTTTCCAACCTGCACATATATCATCTAGTAATGCCCGTCGGGGGAGGCGATGGTTAGGCATGCGCAGCACGTAACCTAGCCATCTCAATCTACGAAACTTTATAGCCTCTTCGATTGATTTTCCCTCTTTGCCCAACACTCTACACCCAACGTCAACATTACTTACCTTATTATTCCACCTAACGTGAGAAAGAGATCGTAGACATCTATGATCAAAAACAATCAACCTTTTCATGTCTTCAACTCGTATTGGCCATGTTTCAGAGCCATAGAGAAGGACGGAGCGAACTGCTGAGCAGTACACACGTCCCTTGGTTGATAGCCGGATGTCAATGCTGAAAATTCCATTCTGTATCACAAGTACTGTTTTGTGGAATAAAGTAAATCATTATTATTATAATTATTAAATAGAGATGAGAGAATTAGTTGAAAATGAAGAAAATGACGGTGGGGGTTGTGGGACGAGGGTGTGGAGGGGGGGGAGGACTACCTACCTTCAGATGATCCAATAGTAATCACTTCTTGAAATAGCTCATGCATACACGAATCATGTACAGGCAATAATTTAGCCCATCGCATTGCAGATAATTCATCCTCCTCCTGCTGCTTCGTGGAACAATTCATCACTGAAGAAGTTAGCATCTTTTTTTTCAAAATTCTGAAAAGACTGAAAAGAAAACAAACAGACACGGCGTTCACTTTGTAAGAGTGAAAGTAATTAATTAAAATCAAGTTATATATAAAGGCTCAATTCTCCTCAAGTTTGCCAAAGCTATCTCTATTAAACGCCTGTAACCCGACTTATGTGTTCAGAAAGAAGCAGTCAGTTATCAGTCTTTCCTTGTCCAACCCTGGGGTAAGTGGATGTCTTTATTCTCTCTTTCATTTGATTACGCAATCTTTAGCTTTAATCTCACCCCCCCCCTTTGATATAGTGTAATTTTGCTTGTCTCTTGTTTCTATGATTTGAGTTGAACTCAGTACATTGTTACCTAATTTATTAGTCACTCTGTATCTAACTCATATTTCGTCTTTATTACGTAACTCTTTTACCACCGTATGCATACATTTATTTTGTTTAAACTTGAACTGCATGTGTAAAAATTACATAAGCGTAATTTTCTGAGCACACTTACTGTGGAACTTTTTGTCAACTGACAACATGTAAATTTTGCAAGTATGTTAAAAATTTTCTGTACGCAAACCTCATAATTTATTTAGGCTGTAAGCAGCTGATGAGAAACCAACGAAATAAATGATGGTACCATATTATTCTGCACAAACCTCTACTGTTGTTCTTGCTTTATTCTAAAACTAATCTATCTAACAAGTTCTGATTGCGAACACCTCTCAGTCATGTATATTTATATAAAGTTACCTGTGCACCAAAAGCTGAAATTGTAATCCATAGACGTCAAAATAAAAGGGTAATGGATTTTATTTAAACTTAATTTGTCAGGAGAGGTCGAGTGCAGCAATTAATAGTTTCAAAATATATTAAACAGGTTTGAGCATCTTCTTCATGATCAGACTTTAACAGACTTACGTATAGGATATTTATATATTACTGATCGATTGTTTGATATGCTTATAGGATACCACTTACATCAACTAGTTGCTAAGATGGATGCATAAATCAAGCTACCCTACAGCAGCTTGGTAATTAGACAAAGACTGAACACTGTGGCCATAAAGAGTTTTTATACAGCTGAGATCTAGATAGTTGAGAATTTGAAGTCTGTTTATCCTTTTAAGCCCTTAGAACATACGATAAATGATGTCAAATTCTACTGGATCTACCAGTTTTAATGTCCATGTGGTCACACATACGTTAGTAGGACTTATCATCCTCTGCAAATAAGGCTTTCAGAGTATACTCCTATGTGACTTCATAAGCTAGCTGAATCCTCCGGACTTGTGAGTGGTGAAAACAGACAACCCAGTTCTTCTAATTCATATATATGTATAAAATTTGAGCACTGTGGTAGTAAGTAATTCCATATTAGTTTGTTTATTAGATATATCACACACAGCGTGAAATAGTATTGCTATTTACTGGATGACGAAGTTGAGAACACAATCTAGTATTGTTCATAATCATATCATCAGTTATAATCACACGACTTTGAAACTTGAGTTTTACAGTTTTCTTTCTTCTTTCCTATTTGTCATCATTGGGATAGTAGAATTTTCCAGATATCTGGGTGGACAGGTGTTGAATCATTCCTATTACACAGTTGATAGCACTACATGCAATTACACACAACCATACAATAGGTTGGGATGGGATAAGATGACAGTTTTCAAATCTAATGTAACAGCAGGTTGGAGGGAGAGATTGATAATAGAAGCTTTGTTTATCGAATCAACTGAGAGAGAATACGTGTAATAGGAATGATTCAACACCTGTCCACCCAGATATCTGGAAAATTCTACTACCCCTACGACGACAAATAGGAGAGGACAAAGAAAACTACAAAAGTCAAGTTTCAAAGTCGTGTGATTATAATTGGTGATATGATTATGACCCCCAATAAATTTTTTTTTTATTTACAGCTTGATTCCACACCGTATTTTCAGTAAAAGTGTGGAATTTTCAGCATGGATATCGGTAGCCCAAATTCAGGCCGACCATAGATATCGGGTGTGCGCCGGCAGGGGATAGAACCCCGGACCATGTGCATGGTCGGCGAGAGTCCTAACCACTGTGCCACCGACGCACGAAACCTTGTCATCCAGTAAATGCTGTTTCACTCACTGTGATATATCTAATAAACAAACTGATATGGAATTACTGTGAGAATTTACCTCTTACCTACTTTATTTTCTCAGTGGAATATAGGGCGGCTTCAAGCCAGAGAGCTTTGAAGTTTCGGTAGCCAGTGGTGTTTATTTTTAACGGAGTGAGAGTCACCAGCCTCACACGCCTAACCTTCTCTCTATACCACTAACATTACTATCGGTTTAGCGCAGTTTAAGAGTGCGTTAGCCGCCACGGGTCGAACCACGGACTACAGAGTTCCACCACTGAACTACTACTGATGCACACAACCGTGAGAATACTGATGAATAGTAATTCCAATCAGAGGATGACACCAGCTATTATGCATCCAGAATTACAGGTTAACAAACCAGGATCACAAACAACACAGTTGCAGACCGTCTTAGAAGTAACCAGAGTAGAGTCTGTACCTATGGTAAAGGTATTAAGACTTAAGCATCAAATAATGATTCTAAAATGACTATGATACTACTCAATAGTAGTGCTCCATCTTACTGAGTATGAAAGTGAATACTCAATGCGACCGTAATTTAATGGGTACGAATATTATAATTACAGAATTCACCACCAATCTCACAAAACCAATATGAATTGTTAAAATATCAACGGTAAACTGTGAGGGACGATACACACGAAATTCACCACATAGAAAAAACGACAACATATAACTCACATCCAACTTATCAACACCTACAAAACATGCTGTAGAATTAATGTTTATTGTTTTGGATGAATAGGAAACAAACACAGCACATTATAGGTACTAAGAGATGTACTGGACATTTGTTTCGTCCTGGTTCGGGACTCCTTATCAGCACTCACCCAATAGGGTTCGAACCCAAGACCCCCTGGTTACAGAGTAAGCCCGCACACCACTCAGCCACTGGGACCCGACACACCTATCCACGAATTTCAACTTCTGCCAATTCGTGATGCATTTAGAGCAACGGAATTGGCAGAAGTTGGAATTCACGAACCAATGGGGTTGGGTTCCAGTGGCTGAATGATTTGCGAGCTCGCCTAGTAACCAGGAGGTCCTGGGCTCGAACCCCGGTGGGTGCGTACTATTAAGTAATGTGCCAAACAAGATTTCATAATTTGTGAGACGGCTGGGATTCTGCTCGGACATCCAGAATGGAGCAGATGTCTTAAGAAGCCACTCCACAAACCTTTAACTCGAAGTCTAATCCACGTGGCAGTGGAGCGGCGTCAGGAGCTATATTCCATGATTCCCAGTGACCAAAACAAGTCCTTTCAGATTCTGGAGTCCATGTACACTACCATAGGTTTGTAATCAGGCTTTTTTTAGTTCACCTACGTAGACCTGCATGTCCATCGGTTCAGTTTTAAGCGCCAGACGTTCCCGTTGAGGAGAAAAAACAAACAACCGATGTAAAACTTCCTCTACAAGATGGACACAAAAATGTGTTTTCCTTTACAGAATTTATTCAAAAGACTCAATTCAATCATCACTGCTAAGATGGATATCTGATCAAGTTCGTAATGTTATCAACCAGTTTGTTCCATTTATTCAGTATTCCTTACGATCCTTCCAATTGTTCTAAAGTAGACTGCTCCTGGTGAGAATATTCCTGGAATTTAGGGTTCTGTATTACTTTTTTTTGAGTCATCCTTATGCAACACATGAAACCTCATCACCGCAAATACAAAAGGTTTTCTACCTTGCATTGCCTTCAAGGTTTGCAGGCAAGATACGCAACTGCTCATCCTCAGGGGGTATATGTACTGAGTTACAGTTCACTTCGCTCCTAAATTACGCCGTACTGAGGTTTGAAGGCTTAATTCATGATAACACAGAAAGACTACATAACGTTGACCTTGTGTCTTCTTCCGATTACACGGGTTATTACATCGAGCAATAATGTGAGCAATATCCACATAAGCAGTAGAGCTTTCATCGCCAAGGAACACCAGTCAACTGATCAAACTGGCTGAAATGGCCTGGCACATACGCCAAGCCATTGCCGTACTCAACAATAAGTTTTACCTGAAATAGGATAACATTAGAGAAGAGTTACAGTGGCCAAGCGCCACTGAAGTCGTTGCCTCCTGATCTGAGCAATTGTAGGGCACTGTACAGTATCCTCAGGAGATTGAGAATAAATAATTGAGGACTGTTCATGATAATGATACTTGAAATTTGTTCATAATAGTGCAAATATATTCATACCTTTCATCTACGATATATCAGTTAGTGTTAAGAAGAGCTTCCGTGGAAACACGTTCCCACTAAGCGACAACACAACAGAAGCATTGTAAACTCGATCCTTCATTTTTGTCAAATACAACCGGCAATATCTCGAGATTTGAAGTATACCCTTCCATATGATACATTCATAAGCTTTAACACACTAAATGCTGACACTCTACTTGGTAAGTTATAAAAAGCTTGTATGTGGACAGTGACCATAAGGGTCTTTCACCGGCTTTCAGATATTCAGTGGGAGTGTGGTTCACTGGCTTGAAAGCACTCGGTTTCCTTCCTTCAGTCTCGTCTCGGCAACTGAATAGTATCACATCTGCCTTCACAATAAGTCTGGTTGATGAGCTGGTACATACGCGAACTTTGGAATACCAGTCATAAAACGCAATAAACTCCCGGGTGAAATTACTCACATGAAGATGAGAACCCAACTAAAAGAAACTATCAGATGTCAGGGTGAAGGTGGCTTAACAGTCTGAAAGGAAATGAGAGAAAAAAACATAGTCGAATATAAAGTGAGAAATGAGACAGAATAAAGGCATCAAGTGATGCATCTTACCTCAGAGGAAGGTTTCACAGAAGACTCGTTACAGAATGACCTCACAGAATAACAATCACTTATTACCGCCACTATACAGTTTAATTCACTAGTATGGCGAAAAATGACCAGGTCACTTCACATACTATGTAGACAATATTCTTCTCATGGAGTCATATCTCACATAATGTCCATATCTTTCGTTTAGCTCTCCACTAACGATGACAGTACTACCTCTGAGAACAACAAATTATTAAGCAGCAAATACTCGCTATTTATATTCATTTCAGAAAGGTGGCCAGTCATATTTTCGGAATGTCGCATGACTAAAATATTCACGAATATAGTTATGCACACTTCCGTCAATGTGCATCGATTCAAGACATTCTTAGGCACCAGTCGACATCAGTTCAAAAACCACTGTATACTTGGAAGCACTGAACAGTAGATTCTCTCTTAGTTCGCCAGTGTTCAGTAGTGAGCACGCAAAAGCACCTTCAGGTTGACGAGACGAGCGATTTACCATCCACTCAATGAGTTAGCCCATCTAACAATCCATGAATTCTAACTGCTGTCAACTGTCAACATAAAAAAATACCTAGCCATCACCTTCTTCGACGGTCAATTTTAGCTAACTGATATAGGATGGATCAGGTTGGAAAAGGCAGAGCTAGTGGTGGTCAAACCGAAACATGGCTTCATCAGTCAGTGAAATCCATAACAGTTAGTTTAAGCCACCTGCCATGTTTGGAGGTGTAGACTACTGTCTGGTTGGGGTCCTCGGGTTAGTAAGAAGCAATAACGGCTGGAGACAATTAATTATTGGTGATATGGCTCAAAGTGATCTTTGTCAATGGCTGGCTCAGATGCATTCACTCTTTGTGATTTGCCAGTCATATCCAATAAAACTTTATTGTTCTTCCACATTACTATTCTTTTTCCCTCACTCACACTTCTGTTCACTACCTCTTCTTTGAACCTCTCTTTACTCTCTTCTCTTGTATTGTGTGCTACATGGAGGGGGGTTGGCAACTCGAACTGCTGCACATGTGTGCAAAGTTCTTTGTTGAAACCAATCAGTTATCAACATAACATACCTATCCAGTGACATCGACCAGAAATCCTTTCCACACCTGTCCTCGTGGACCTCATAATCCCACTAATTACAATTTCCGGAAGTCCGCCTCAAAACCTGCAATTCATTAGCGACGGATGTATTGGCAGATTTCTGGGATTGTGGAAATATTTGACACTTGTCACCAATCAATCAAATAAGTCGACTTATTCGCCCTTCACCAACCACCCAAAGTTGATAAGAACGCCAAAAACCAAGTGGAAATTCAACAAACAAGCCAACACACCTGATAACTAAATAACAATATCTAAGTTACGTAAGATCTAATAACCGCTTACATTGTTGTCTAATATATCATTCCCAAAATAGGATACAAAACCCTAATAAATTTGGTACTCGAAACACAATGTCATGTTGTTCATAGCGTTTAATTTGATATCCAGCCTCTCAGTGTAGCTACATCGCCAGAAATTCTCAAAAATTAACCAACGAATTCTATAAGCGACAGAACAGTTAACTGTTATAATGTACAGGCTTATAAACGTCTCCAAAAACAGCTTCACAGCTGTGGTTCCTTCAAACGGAAAGTAATAATCATTCTATCTAAAGTAGGCGAAGATAATCCTGTTGAACAAGCACACTAACAAGATGCACAGATCCCTGAGAGTTCTTGGGGTACGTTCCTCACCTTGCACTGCCACTTCACAACTGGTCGGTGTGGTTACTACCACTTTTGAATTTAGGTCACGAAGTGGTTGAGTAACGTCGAGCATCTCACCTATCCGGTTAATCGTAAATATGCGAATACCCTGTATGCCTTTCACCCCATAAGGCTGCAAGTGAATCTAACTAAAGACCGACTTGTCTCACCCACTATGTGACGGTGATTTATGACTATAAGGAATGAGGTCCGAAGAAGCTTTAGGTATTCGACTACCAATATCTTTGTAGATTGTTAGGTAGGTCTTAGCTTATAGAGTTATCAATCAACATAGCTTGGAATAGCCCAAAATACATGTTAGGCAAGTCTAGTCATCACCTACTTCGATATGCTATGCTACCAGAAATAGAATAGACCAAGACGTTGCAACTATTCCATAAATTCTTTGTTGGTGAGAATTGTGTAAATTTCCAGACTACAGTCCATATGTCAACATTAAGCAATGTGACCCGGAATTTATGAAAGTGATACAGATGCATTCACACCTCATTATCGCCCCTAACTGTAAAATTACACTCCCATATTAGTCTAATTTCGCCGACTTTGAAAACGACTTTAGCAGCGTTGACCGAGAAGTAATTTGGGAACTACTTCAACAATATGACGTGCAGTACACCAAATCTTTATCAATACCACGTGTCAGGTGATCCACAACGGAAAACTCAGTGAGGTGTTTGAAGTAAAGACTGGAATAAGACAAGGCTGTCTATTATCACCGATGACATTCCCCCTATTGTGGTGAACTAGATCATGAGTCAGACTATGGGTAGCAGCAAAATGACAGGAACATGCTGGATCACAGATAAGAAGACTCTAGAAGATCTGAATTACGAGGATGATTTATGTCTAATGTCATGCAAACTCGAAGACTCGCAGGCAGGCGAAGAGCAACAAACTGGTAGAAGCTGGTAGAGAAGACCAAACTCCAGGTGAACACAGAGAAGACGGAGGTCAACAACAACCAGTACCAATCACTACCAACGGGAGAAATCTGAAGTAGAATACTTCCTTCACTTATCTAGGAGGCATCGTTTCAACTACAGGCGGAACAGATGAGGATGTCAAAACTAGGCAGAGTCGGAAAGGCAAAATACACCTTCATCAATCTGGAAATATTCTGCACTCAGATTAAAAAACAAGATCCAGATTTTCAACACAAATGTGAAGTCAGTGAGCTCTTTTATATGGGTCAGAAATTTGGCAAACGCATCACGAAAAGCATTTCCAGCAGGCTACTTTATATTTCTATCAGTAGCTGCCTTCGCTGACTCCATACTGAAGATCAGATAGCTGGCCAGAAAGAATTAGTAACAAGAAACTATGGGAACAAATCAACAAAGAACCTGTCGTTCGATAAATGTGTAGGTGAAAATAAAGATGGATAGAATAGGCATACGTTGAGGAGGCCGTCGAATGACATCGAGCGCAATGCAGGCCATCACTCTAGTGCAATTCCAATCGGAATCGACGAGTGGGTCATTGGTGTGAGCGATATGGAGAGTACCAACCACTGTCAACGCCAGAAATCTAAAATAGGTTACTTCCTTCACTTATCTAGGATGTATCATTTCAACTAGAGGTGGAACGGATGAGGATGTTAAAGCCACAATCGGTGAAGGAAAGATACATCAGTCTGGAAATCTTCTGCACTCAGCCAGCATAAAGGATAAGATTCGGATTCTGTTCCACACAAATGTGAAGTAAGTCGCCGCTTCTATGCGGGTCAGAAGCTCGGCTAGTGTGTCACGAATACGATTTCCAACAAGTTATAGACTTCTATCAACAGCTGCCCACTTCGCTGGCTGGCTCCATACTGAAGATTAAATGGCCAGCCAGAGAGAATTAGCAATAAGAAACTCTGGCTGGTGGCGCAATAACCAAGAGCCGATTGCTCAACAAATATGTAGGAGAAAATGGAGATGGATAGAATGGGCATACGCTGAGGAAGTAGTCGAATGACATCGCTCGAGTGGAATCCCAATTAGAGGTGACGAGTGGGTCATCCGAGGGTGGCATGGAGGAAATTGTGCGAGGAGATGAGAGATTATGTGCAATCATAGGGCCGACTAAAGAGGGCCTCAGAGGATAGAACAAAGTGAAGAGGTGTTGTTGAAGCCCTATGTTCCACTCAGAATCCATGGGAATAATAATATTATATTGATCTAACTCTTACATGTAACGCACCTGACGACCCATAACCGTATGAATTACATCCCAATTCTTCAATTTACATAACATTCGACTAGAAGTACAAGCCACTACAAACTACATCAGTAATAACCATATGTCAATAGTCTCCATTATATGTGATACATACCTTCAGAGAAGGACACTGTCGCTACATTGAAAACCATACCCACTGGTCGACTGCAAATGGGTTGATCTCAGACGAAATCTCAACACGAATACAGAGACCTAGTTTCGTATACGCCAGTTTACGCCGTCTCTGGCGTAGACGTGATATCCGACTATCGACCAAAGGGCGTGTGTACTGCTCAACAGTCCGCTCCGTCCTCCTTTATGGCTGTGAGACCTGGCCATTGAGAGCGGAAGACATGAAAAGATTAGCTGTCTTTGACCATAGGTGTCTGCGTTCTATCTCCCGCGTGAAGTGGCATAATAAGGTGAGCAATACTAAGGTTAGGCGTCGAGTGCTAGGTAAGGCGGGGAAATCAATAGACGAGACTGTGAAATTACATCGACTGAGATGGTTAGGACATGTGTTACACCTTCCACGACGGACAATGTTAGCTGATATAGGGTCAGGCTGAAAAAGAGCTAGCAGCGGTCAAACGAAAGCATGGCACCAGTCAATGATATCTACAACAGTTAGTCTAAGCCAGCCACGTAGGAAGGTGTAAACTTCCTGACTGGTTTGGGTCCTCGGGACGGTAAAAACCAATGGTTGGAAACAATTGGCGTAGATGCATCCACTCCTTGTGACTCATAATTTCCAATGAAACTGTTTTGTTCTTCATTATTACTATTTCTTTGTCTCTCACCTCTGTTTACTGTCTAGATTATTCATTTCTCTTACTTTCTTCTTTTGCTCTGTGTTCTACAAGAAGGGAGTGTGGGTACTTGAACTTCCGCACATATGTGCAAAGTTCTATGTCGAAAACAGACTGCAAAGCCCTAAAT